TCCGTCGGAAAGTTAACTTTCCGGCGGAATATTCCGTCGGAAAGTTAACTTTCCGGCGGAATATTCCGTCGAAAGTTTCCGACAGATTTTATTTCCGTCGGAAATTTATTGTTTCGACGAAATATTCCATCGGAAATTTCCGACGGATTTTATTTCCGTCGGAATATTAATTTTCCGACGGAATATTCCGTCGGAAAGCCCATAAATTCCGACAGAATTTTATTCCGTAGGAAATCCGTCGGAAATTTCTGATAGAATATAAATCCGTCGGAATATATAGGATTTCCGACGGAATTTTGTGTCCGTCGAAAGATGTCCATCGGAATCAAGCCTATTTCTTGTAGTGTCACGAAATGAAACACCAGGAGAAGTTATACCTTGAACAGGTTGTATAAATGGAGGATTAACAAGGGTCTTGGGTAAAGCAGCATTAGCATCATTCGAGAAAATGATATGATTAATCTTGCGTTTGGTTTTCTTGGTTGAATGCGCGAGTTGATCTCTGGTTTCAGGGTTGGAAGCATGGTTGAGGGCGTTTTCCATTGAGAGAGTTAGCCAGGGACGAAACTATACTTGGTTTCAAAAGGATATGATAGTGCTTGTTGGCATGTGGTGAAGGTCGCGAGATCAATCCTTGTTACTATCTTTAGTTTTTTTTGGCTTTTTTGGCTTTTTTCTATTTTCAAAGTCAGTTTTTCCCCTTCTTTTCCAATTATTTAAATGTATATTTTTTATTTAGATTTTTTTTTTATTTAATATATACATATGAAAATAATGTGGTCTCTTCTACTTTTTCTCAAAGCCATTTCTTCCCTATTTTTCCAACTAACTTTTCATATAATTGCATTTTTCGATTAGAATTTTTTTTTTTTTAAAAAAAAAAAACCTATATACATGTGGAATGATCAAGTTTTGACAATGATATTTATAAATATCTAATAATTGCATTTTTTTTCCCTAATAAAGGTGGAATTATTAGTTTCCATTTTTCTTTTATTTGAGGTAAAAAGAAATAGGTTTGAATAGTTTATAAATTTCCTCGCAAAGCCTATAGAGGGATGGAACCCCCCCCCCCCCCGGTATCTTTCCGATTAAAAAATATATCTATAGAAATAATTTTAAATTGAATCATGATACACCAAGATGTATATTCAAGAGTTGCAATTACTCAAACATTGTAACAAAACAATTGAAGTTCTTGGCTCATTATTAGTTGCAAATTTGGGAAGGCTCATAAATTTGAATGTTGCTTATATATGTAGGAGATGAAAATAACTATATTGAGCATGAAAGAGCCATGGTATTAATTGTTTCCTGAAGGGGACATTTGACCTCAGCTTATGTTGACCAAATAAGTCCAATTCTCACGAGAAAGTTGCATATTTTTTCCTAATTACACATAAATATGACTCAAATGTAAAAAATAGGGTTAGATTTAAAAAACTTGCATATGACGAATCTGGTGGGCTAATCCTCATATAATTACAATGTGATATACTGATATACACAAGTTCACATGGAACCTACATAGAAACATATATATAGAATTTCATTACATTTATTACTACCTACCATTTGGATTATGAATGTAATGAATTCTCTACAATTTTTCTTATTTTGCAAGGATTACTAACTATTATGGAATAATGAAATGGTCCCTTTATCTTAATTTAGCTTATTGTTTGGTAGGAAATTTCTATTAGGGAAAACTAACCTGAAACATCACAAGAATAATCAAATAATGTTGAACAAACAAAATGCAATTATTTTTGGCATGTGTGAATTCTCCTTCACCTTAATTATTACATGCAACATGGGTTATATTTTCCAAAAGGATCTTGCTCACGAACGTCTTCGGAGTTTTTGATAACCCTTTAAAATATTTCCTAAAATGGTATAAATTTGGGAATGCACGTCAAAATCACGCGTCAATCGATGTAATTAATGTTTATGTTAAGTTAATATTTCTACTTTTGATGATCTTATCCAACGACCCCAGAGCGTTCGTTAGCTTTTGCCTTTCCAAAAAAGCTATTAGCATAAAAAAATAAAAAATAAAAATAAAAATAAAATAAAATAAAAAACTTTAGGATTTAATAATAGGTTTATCTAACTACAATTACTACATGGAAATATCAAACGGTTGGATGACATCAAGTTAAAATATAAGTTAATGTAACAATGCGAAACGAATGGACAAGATACATTGATATAATACAATACCAATCACATAAATAATGATCTTAAAAATAATGACCTTAGCTTAGCTTAAGAAGGTGAGGATCTTTTTGAAAGTAACATGGGTTGCTTCCTAGATAGGATAAAGCAAATTTCATGCACAGTCTCTTTATTTTCTTTTAATGTGATACTAGAGGAGCATACATGTTTAGCCGTTTATAGCAACCATTTAATTGCTTTTATGTGCATTTAGTATAGTTTTAAATCAACCTAACTAGTTGATATTCAGATCATGTTATTATGGGGAATGTGCACTTGATCTTGAAAAATCCATTTTATAAGTTGTTTAAGATAATGCAATGCCATTCTCACATATTTAATAATAAATTGATTAAATTTTGTGGCTATTATGTTCTAAAGATAACGTTAGGAATATAGGAAAATATACTATTGTGATATATTTTTCATATAAATCTTATGATAATACATTTAGGATAATATTATATCTTAGTGATGCTCTAAGATAGACTTATGGTAATTTGATATTACTGAGGATTAGGAAAGTTTATAGGATAGAGTTTTATATTACGTAAGTTATCTTTTGCAGGCTATAAATATTAGCCAAGATCATCAATACAATTTAAGGTATTTTTTAATCTCTTAAATATTTTACATGGTATCAGAGCAAGTGGATTGAAGCTCGATCAAAATTTAAGACTTGAAGCTTTAAATCTGAGATAGCAATATCAAAGGCCACTCACATACTATGATATATATACGTTGGTAGAAAAACATGCAAACCATTAATTCTCATTATTTTCTTGTTATTGTTTGTGTTTTAGGGGCTTGCCCCTCTACTTCACCAAAAAAAAAAAAAAAAAAAAAAAAAAAAAAATTATCCAACTATATATTTTATTAATATCAAAATTTTATAATTTTACGTGTATGAAAAATATAGATATATACATTTTAACACCCATATTAGAGACCATGAAAAGTCAAATGGGACACAAAATTAGGGACAAAGAGAGTAGCTCCTAATCTAAGTAATCAATCTATAATCATGATTCGTTCTTGAATTTAAATTAAGATTTGAATGTTTACTCCTAACACTCAAATAAAATTCAAAAGGAATATATTGTTAATTATATCAACTCTTGAACCCCTTATTTAGGGTATGTTTAGTACGTTCATCTTATTATCTAAATATCTTATTACTTATTTCAGATCATATCAGAAGAAAGAAAGAAAGAAAAAAAATAAAAAAGTTAAGATCATTCTTTATCGTATATGTGCAATGATTTATCGTTAAATATCTTTAATTTCGTAATGAAAAAATGATATATTTGAAATTATACGTTAAAATAAATCTAATAAGACCCCATATGTTATAATATATTTTATTTTTGTTATAGATTAGCGTACATATAAGATCAAAGTTTAGTCAAGTCAATTAGATTAGATACGAAAAAAATTAGATCAAATCAAATTATAAGAAAAAATAAACTCAGATAAAAAAAAAATAATAAGCAAAAATAAGGTGTAATAAATATAGAGCCTAAGGCTGGAATATTTTCATTGATACTACCCCCTCGATCTTATTTGTTCTTCCAATTTTGACTATGCAAATTTGTAAAAGATGCATAGCTTTGACCACAAATATCTTTAACTTTATATTAATTAAAAAATATAACAGTTTATAATTGATAAAATAATTATTGAGACGAAATGATACTCAACATGACTATGTTGTAATTTATATCTCTATTATATAAGTAAAGAGGGGAGATTGTGGTGTGCACTAAAAAAGACCACAACACCCCTCTTCAGATTCTTTTGAAATTGAAAAAAAAAAAATCAATCAATCAACGAAAAAAAAAAAAAATTTAATCAGTCAGCGAAGAACATGGAAAAATTAATCAATCAACAAAGAATTACATAAAATAAAAATCTACTTGAATTAAGTCCGAAATAAATAAGTAGTACATTATTTATTTTATGTCTATGAAATCGATCAATTAAAACACAATTATGTAATTTTCATCAATCAATTAATTTATGCAATTAAACTTATCTTTCGTAAATTATTAGCTTAAAATTATGATTATATATTAGTAAATTTGATATTGTTTTATTCTCCGTATTAGTAATGATGTTCACATGTCGACACGAACTACTGTCAATCAAACTCATACCATCTACATTGTTAGTTAGAGTACCAAGCTCAACTGTCTACCTTTATCATTTCATATTTACATAAGTTATCCACACGATCCTAATTAAAGATAAATAAATAAAGAAAAGGGAGATTTGAGATGATTATTCCAAAACCTCGAATCTCCTATCTATTCATAATATAATCTGATCTAAAATGATACATTTAAAAACATGTAACATATTAGAGTAATATTTTGTATCAATGAGGATTCTCCACGAATCACAAATCATCTCCATCGATTTTGATTGTACGCTTATATAACAAATTAATCATATCTTACGTTAACTCTTATATGTACATATTCGACTCTAACCAACCTTATCATTTTGCATTACTCCAACCTTCCTACAAACCTACTAAAGATCCTATAACACCCCCAAATTAAAAAAACTGAGGCTAGTAAGTAAATAAAATCATGACAGATCAGGTCGATCAATTCTTCCTAATAAAAAATACTCCCTCCACTTTTTTTTAGTGTTCCATTGGAGTTTGACACACATGCCGATGTAGAACTTTGGCCTATAATATCTTTAATTACCAATAAGAATAAATTACAACAATTAAATATTAATAATCTATTTATTGAAACATTTTCAATAAGTACCAAAAAGATTATACGGAGTATTTTTTTTGTCATGTATAATTTACAAACATTGATAAAATAAATAGCGTAAAAAGTCCCAATAAAACACCTTAAAAAAAAAAAGGAAAGGGAGAAGATTTGAGATGATTACACCAAAACCTTAAATTGTTTCTCTTTCTTACCCCTTCTCTCTCTCTTCAAATAACTTTTATTCTCACCCATTTCCTCTCAAAATGAAAATCTGATCGCTCTCACTTTCTCTCTCCTCGCCCCTTCATATATTCTCCCCTTCTCATCCCACAAAAAACACTCAATTCATTTTCAACTCCTAAAACATTTATTTTCTCTCTCAAATTCCAAATGAGCCATTTCTCCTTAAACCTCCCTTCATCCGATACACTCTGGTACACCCCAACTACAATGGACCACCACCACCACCAAAAACCCCTCCCCTTCTTCTACCATTCCTCCCTTCCTCTGTCCTCAAAACTCGATGATGTCGATTCCGACAACAACAGTACCTCCACCGCTACCGCCAACATTGACCGATCCGAAACAACCTCCTCCTCCCCTTCCTCCGCCGACCAAGAATACATGTTCGAAAAACCCTTAACCCCTTCCGACGTCGGTAAATTAAACCGTCTCGTTATCCCCAAACAGCACGCTGAAAAATACTTCCCCCTCGCCAACGCTACAGCCGTCGCAGATTCCTCCGGAGATAAAATCACCGGCGCCGTCGCAGGTGGTGGTGGAGTTTTACTAGGGTTCGAAGATGAGTCTGGAAAGTGCTGGAAGTTTCGGTACTCTTACTGGAATAGTAGTCAAAGCTATGTGTTGACTAAAGGTTGGAGTCGTTACGTTAAAGAGAAGAAACTTGACGCCGGCGACGTCGTTTTGTTTCAGCGTCATCGGTTTGAATCCGACCGCTTTTTTATCGGTTGGCGACGGCGCGGTTCCGCTCCGTCGCCTCATCACCATCATAATCATCACCCTCCTGCTCCAAATAATAATCAAATCCGATACAACAATCATCAGAGTAACTATAGCGTTGCGCCGTCGCAGGGTTATAATAATGGTGCGACTCAACAACACCAGATTGCTTCATTTCCGTCTTACCGCCCTGACTCTCTTCATGCAGGTAAACTATACACTCTAAGGGACCTTTAGAATCGTGTACCTTTTTCGTTCTTAACAAAATATTCACCCCTAATAAAAATTAAAATGTTCGGAGTAAAAAAAAAAAAAAATCTCAATTTTTATTTATAGGTTTAAAATTGAAAAAGAAAAATATCGTCACGTAATCGTCAACTCATCATCAAGTTGGATGTTTCGCCTTCTTTGTTTCTTTGCTCCCTTATTTTTGTTTCATGTGTTTCCATTTATTTTTTTAAAATAAAATAAAATCATGATTTCTTCCCTTTTATGTTTATTTCCCGAAAAATCCGATATATCCAAATATTTTCTGAATATTAATTAAATATAGTAAAATAATACGGGGTAAATGAGAAGAAGATGTATGATTACGCTCATTGGGGTGCGTGACTGACACCATCCAATTACTTAGGAGGAATGTGGTTCATTCCACGTTTTTTTAACGAGTTATTTCCGAGTTTTATTTAAACTATTTGTTCATTTTGGATCATTTGGCACGAAATCGGGAGTAAAAACTAGATACGGAGTAAATGAGAAAGAGTAAACCACTTTGCTGTGGTTGTACTGTCGAAGAGTACAAATACTTGACATTTTTCTGACTTGTTATGTTGAAAGTCAGGCAAAAATAATCTGATCTGATAAATAAATTAGTTATACATTTTTATTTGTTAAAAATATCTGAAAAGTTGTTTTTGACTAAACTCAATCAGTGAAATCAGCCTAACTAATTCGTTTGACAAGTATAATAATCTAGATTATAATCATTCTAAATGATACTCTTAATCTTAATGATTAATTATATGATACTATGAGACCTGTATAGTTAGATGGTGACGTATAATTATTAAAGTACTACACACCTACATATTTATATCAGGGGAAAAAAAGGACTAATTAAACAGGCACGTGGGATAACATTAATTAATGAAAGAAATTCAGTTACACGAATATAATACGGAGTAATAATAATATGATTTTGTTTAAGTTTCAAAAAGTTAGTTAAAGCCATTAATTAAATATAATTATAGTATAAATAATAATGATAATGATGATGATTTTGTAGGGACAGAAGTTAGGCAAAAGGGAAGAAAATCAGGCGGTGGTAATTCAAAAAGGGTGAGATTATTTGGGGTTAATTTGGAATGCCAAATTAATGATGATTTAGAAGAAGATGAAGAGCCTCAAACTTCTGATGGCTCATCTTTATCTAGCCAAGGTCAAGCTCAACTTCACCCAGGTTCCGGTTTCAGTTCAGGTTATGACGCGACGGGTCCTACCACCTACAATTACTTTGACTACATGGGTTATCAACCTAATCAACATTATCCTTCTCACATGGTACGTTGCTTTCTAATTTAATTAATTAATCTGTCAATTTAAATAATGTTGATTAACCTGGAATCTTCCCACCCAAATCCCTATTTATTTGCTTCCACTAATGAGACAAAATCCAGATGGTATTACTATAATGTAGAATCTAATACTGCTAATACTAATACTGTGCATTAGGGGATGTATTTATTGACTTTATTCGTAGACTAATGTTGTATTGCTGTCTTCATTATATCTGTCTACCTGTCTACGTAATCTCTTGAATATCGCGAAATCATTAAATATTATATAATCAATGTTCAGACTCTAGTCAAGTATAGTTTTAATAATATATCCTTTCTGGACTGAGGAATAAATATTCCGTGCTAATACAATATTCTCTTGTTTAAGTCGACAGATAATAAGAAAAAGGGAATTACTACTCTTATTAGTTATTTAATCATGAGCTGTTAGGTGTACGTACGTAGCCAAATCTAATCCCACATGCTGGGCGGGCAAGGGTGTTTGTAAGTATCCTTTTACGATACGTATACGTGTATGTACCTCGTGTTAACGGAAGATTAAGGAGATCTAATTAATACGTATCGAGGTGGTTATGATTTGATTAAACAAATGGTTAAGATACTAATTGATTAGAGTAGTAAAATAGTATAGTAGTGTGAGTTTTAAGGGGTCCCAAAATGAAAAGGATGGACTTACATGCAAAGATTTTTGCAAATAACAAAGGTAGAACGTGAATACGTGATTGAAGATTAGGACTAGTATGATTAGCACGAGGATTTGTCACTGTCTTGCTTTGCGGACCAAATATATGTATTTTCTAGAGAGAGAAAGCGAAAATAAATATAAATAGAATAATATTAGAGGTAGGAAAAGAAAAAGGGAAAGGAAGGAGGGGTCAAGGACGGTGAGCTATCACTTTGAACGAGAAGAATTTTGCCACAAATGTTTTCAAGGGTTTTCAACTTTGAATACAACTACTAATCTTGCTATTACTATACACGCTCGAAATTAAATACTCCTTCCGTTACTTAAAAACTTTATAGTATTAAATTTTCGTATAATCTATATTTATTTTGATTGTATTATTCTATTAACACGAATAGTACTGCTTATTGAATGTATGCTTTCAAAATATCAACATTTTATATATTTTTGACAGAATAAGGAGATTTGTGTGGGTGGTCCAAGGGAGTAAATATAATATAATTTTACATTTTGTTTTTTGTATGAAAGGTGGTATATAATGAGTCATTGGTCGGACTTGAAAGTGTCAATTATATCTGCCGTGTATGAGTTTCCTACATGAAGGAAGAATCGAGGGGTGTCATTTTCAAAGGGTGAGATGGTGGAATGGTCAGGGTTGTGGGGCTTTGCCTCTCATTTTACAGGGTCCATCCTCAGATTACAGGATTAAGATTGGATGGGAGTGAGTGTAGTGAGTTTTTGGGATAGGAAATTAATGTTTTCCATTTCTTGGCTTTTTTTTTTTTTTGCATTTTCCTACCCTCTTTTTTGTTGGCTATCTAAGAGTGTACTATTATAACATTAAGAGGTGGGTTGGATCTTTCGGGATCCATTTCAGATTTTTAGGGCAATCAGTGTGAATTGAACGCTCAATCTTTATCCTTGTAAACATAAGAGTTGTATTTAAAGAGGGATCTAATAATAAACTTCTTATCTTTCTCTGACCTTGACCCTCGCCAAGTACTCATACTTCATGGTATTAGAACACGATTAGAATTTTGAGAGATTAACGAGGTGTAGTAAAAAGACATGTAACCATGACTTGTATAGGGTTCTTGTAAGGTTGCATTGGCATGGCATCTCAGGTGATAATTTTTTTTTTTTGCATCCAAGTTGTTAGTTGTTATAGATGATGGGCCAAATTTCCCTTGGTAGAGGGAAAACAAATCAAATTAAAAACATTTGTTTTGTTGTAAGGGAGGTGAGGGGGATTAGTTTTGTAAGCATGTGATTTTCTAAGTAAAATGGGGGGTGTGATAGTGTTGACATTATAAATTCACGCGTACCAATGGCGGGGTTACATAATCATGTGCCTCTTTTGTACAGCTTAGCCATGGACCACGAACCTTATACATAGATGGCCCCTAGTTTATGTAGTGGGATTGGTTTATTACACAATTAATGATAATATTATTTCATTTAATTCGACCTCCTACTTGTAAAATACTGCCTCCGTTTCTTGATACACGCAGCAAATTGACTTTACATGCAACAAGTTGACTTTATTAATACTCTCATTAAAAGTCAATTTGTTACGTGTATTAAGAAATGGAGGAAGTATTTGAAATTATTATCATTATTATTGTTTTCAACTTTAGTGTGTATTGCATCTTGGTCCTAGGTGGTCCACTAACTACATTTGTGTAGGTTATGCATGTTCCATACCTCATCTGTAATTATCTATGGGATTGTTTTCGTTGATACGTCACTTTAACACCTTAATATAACACCAAATTGCCCCAACATCTTTCTCTCTAGCTTATTCTTTGAATTTTCCACTCCTTTGCCAAATAAATTTCTTGCTTGAACTTCGAAACTTTGTTAACCTTTGTGAAAACCTTGTTGTTGGTCATGATAAAACCTAGTCCTTTTCGGAATATAGTACTCCACCATGGATCTTAGTTTTGAAGGTTTAACTTCATCGTACCCCGGTGTACTAGTCTAACGAAATGATATGATCAAAATCGATTTGGGCCATTCGGCTTATTAATAGAAAGTGGCCTAATATTTAGAATGGACGACCTAAATGATAGTTGAAATTTCGAATTGCACCAAGATGAGGTACCTATAATTTCTTTGTGGACCTATGAGAAATGTTTGGCACATGCATGACTTGTTTAAATATATATAGGGTTGAAAATTAGGAGTGGTGAATATTCATACATGCATACAAGTGGGAGTATATATTTTAACACTTTGAAATGATATTTGATTGGATTTGCCATAACTTTTGGAATAGACAAAATGTTATGCTTCACTCTGTTTTTCCCTGTTTGTACTTTATTAAAATTTCTACAAATATACTATATGATGTGAAATTTTTTAATTGCTATATGTATTTATTTTTTACTATTTTTTGGCACTAATAATTATTGCACCATGTGGGCTGTAACAGGACATGAATTTCCCTCAAGATGTCAACCAAATGAGTAATAATCGGCTAAGATAAGATCACAAGATGTGACGTGCCCTCTATCCAACCCCCCAACTTGCTAGAGGTCAAACTTACTACACCAACATTATATTAAACCCAAAAAAATCAGGATGATAATTTTTTTTGGTGTAAAGAGAGCCTTACAGCACTGATGTAAACAAAATTTAATCCCGAAATTTTGATTAGCACCCCAAAACTGAGAAAGGGTGATGACATGTTTAAATACTGTATGATGAAACTAAATGAGGGGATAGAAAATCCCATAATTTCAGGCATTATTCTCTCATACAGTATAATTTTTTTATATTTGCCAAAAAAAAAATAAATCATGTACAACTGGTAGTAGTGCTCATGATTTAAGTCCGAAAAAGAGAGTCCCAAAGGCAAAGGAATGGAGGAGAAATAGACAGCACAGGTTATGAGGTATGGCAACCCAATGTGGGCCCTACTTTTGTGTTTTTGGGTATTTGGGCTTTTTTAAGTACGATTTGCCCATTTCCAACACGTGGCATTTTGGGTCAATACCTTCCAAAGAATCTATATGGCTGATGAGAGAGAACGTCAGATATTTACATATTCCATGCTTTCCAATTTTTTTTTTTTTTTTTTTTTAGGAGATGAAAAAACAAAGTATATTTTAGGCCCAAAAAAAAAAATTGTTACAAGGCCCACTTTATTTAGTTTCTAACCTTATCTAGTTAGTGAGAACTAAGAAGAGATGTAATCTTGTAGATTAACTTTGTTCTTGTTTTTATAATTCCAATGTTTTTATTAATTTTTGTTGATTTATTGATATTTTTGGAAGTTATTTGTAATTTGTAAGATTTGAGAATCCTTAACAAATGACTTTTGCAGGAGAAGTAACTTTTGTATATATTTATGTTGATGTTTGGGTAATTTGTGATCAGATCGGGATTATTTAGCTTATTTAAATTGTTACTATCTTCAATTAATCGGACTTTAATGGGATATGTATTGAGATATATCTAAACTTGAATTATCATGATAAAACCTTTTAATTTGAGTTTGATTGTCCGATCTTATTTTTATGTTTTAAATAATTTTTAATAATTCATAAATTTTCAAAGGTAAAACTAAAACATGATTAATGATATTATAAACTTCTCAATTTCTTAATCTGTGGGGCATTGTACTTTTCAACCAAATACTTCTAAATCCAAAAGCTATCTTTTACAGATAATTGGCGAGTTCTATCAATCATTTGGCTATGTTGCGTAAACAAGAAAAGTTAGAAACTTACCTTAAAAGCCATTCTATCACTTAGAAACTTATCTTAAACTCTGATTCAATTCTTATGCATGTCATTTTAACCACCCAAAAAGTACTAAATTATTGTGTATTGCCTTTTTTTTTTTTCCTTCCTTTGAACTCTTGTGAATTGACTTATGATTATCAATATATTTTTGAAATAGACTATGATAAAAAAGAAATTAATTCATTGTATCATTCACTAGTAGAAAAAAAGAAATAGGCAACCCCCCTATGGCAACGGTTCATGAAAACCGTTGCCAAGTTAATTGAGCGCCAATTTAAATATCAGAGTTGGCAACGGTTAACCGTTGCCAATTTTTTTTTTTTTAAAAAAAAATTGATTAACATTAGCAATGGTTAACCGTTGCCAATTGCGTTTTTTTTTTTTTAAAAAAAAAAAAAAGGTAAAGGTTTGGCAACGGTTAACCGTTGCCAAATTTTAAAAAAAAATTGCGGGTTTTGTTCCCTACTCTCACTGTTCATCAACGTCTTCATTCATTCATTCATTCAATTGTACTGCGTTTTCCCTCTTCCTTCTTCATTCAACTCTGTCCCCTCTTTGTTCCTCCATTGAAGTGGCCTCCATTGGAGACAATTTCCCCTCCTCTCTTCTCCTTAGCACGCTGCTTCATTCAACTCAGCTCCCCTCTTCGTCGTTCCTCCATTGAAGCTAAGTGTTGCGAGCTTTCTCACCTCCATTGAAGACCGTATTCGCGTCGTACTCCGTCAATAACTCCCTCCATTGTCTTCAACCTAAGGTAAGTAGCAATTAGGTTTAACTTATATCCCTCCATTGATGAATTCCTTCGACTTTTTGGTGGATTTGCTTTACAATGTAGTAATTAGGTTTTACAATGTAGCAATTAGGTGTATGGCGCCCTTTCAAGTAGTTGTTCGAAACCCATTATTCATGACATACAATTTAATTGTTTTGTATTGGTGATAGTTTATACATAGGCTTGTGTACAGATTTGTTTAGTGCTAGTAATATTGGTGATTGGGGTGAACTTGTCTCTTGCCTAGGCTTTTGTGATGATTAAGATAAGCAAAATCGGTTCCTCATTGTTGTTTTAAACTTTGGGTGATAAAATATGGAAGAGTGGTAGAGTCTAATTCAGTAGGGAGATGTGGCTATCGGTAAATCTTGAGTGCCCCTTTGATTGTTTTATAAAGCTGGTAGATAATGGCATTGCCATCAATATCATGGGATCGATGGGCAAGCTGGGTCTAGTTCATTGTAGGAGAGCAGGGAGGGGCCAAGGGGGCCAGGGCAGGCTGGGGATGAGATGGACTGGTGTATGGTTGTGGTGTAGTGTGTTCTTGCAAGTGGTTAGTTCAGTGGTAAATGTGAGACTTGTGTTAATACGAGTAATATTGTTGCTTTTAATAGTTTGTCTAATTGTAATGTATCGGGTCATTATTTAATAGTTTTTGTCGTTTGTGGCAACTTGACACTCCATGGATGCTTTAGTGATGCAAGTATGTACTAATGTCCCTATTTGTATTTATTATCCATATCTCATACGTACTTACTAACTTTTAATTTGTTTTTTGTTTTGTTTTTTCTTTTTGCGTTTTTATAGGTTCATATGTGAATTGAAGTTGAAGCTAGTTAAGTTTGAAGACTACACATTAATTTAGCTCAAGTGGGAAGTTAGAAAGAATACATCCATTGTGTTGGTATGAATTATAAACTTCTCTAAGCTATAAATATTTCTTTCTCTCTATTATTGTTTTAATAAACGTTTTTTCATGCTAGCTATTAGATTTGTGTATTATATAATGACTAACTAAATACAACAATAAATATATAAAATGTTTGCATCATCATGTGCCTAGATATCCGTTCAAGGCTTTCTCATTAGGAGAAAGTCTTGAATAGTCCCCGGTTGGGACTGTTCTTGAACGTTTACTCTCACTTAGGTGGTGAATGTATGTCCTTTTTTTCGATTTTAAGGAACATCTTGGCTTACCATTTCCTCGATCACCATGTTCTCTTGGTACATATGTGGGTAAGTAATTACCTACGTCGTGTACTTGGAGAATTGGGGGGAAATGCTGCCGAATTTTCCTTAAAATTGGAAAGTTGACATACATTCACTAGTGAGAGTAAACGTTCAAGGATGGGTTAGGTTGGAGTGATAAGGACCCTTTGGAAGCATATATTCATTTGTGTATGTATATGAATGTTATATGCATGTTGTGTGTTTGAATTTGATTTGTATATATAATAGATGTAGCAATTATACATTATTTGTAATATGTTGCCATGTTTAGAGACAATTTACTTAATGGAGAGGGATCGTGGATGGATGTATGGTAGACGTGATACATTGGAATTCTTTAATGGGGTTCAAGAGTTCTGCGAGACGGCTTCATCTTATCAGCGCAGAATGGGTTTCGAGTGCCTCTATTGTCCTTGTGTTGATTGTAATAATGTGAAGGTGGTCAATAGTGTTGATATCATTAGAGATCATGTAGTTTGTCGTGGGTTTAGGGTTAAATATCATGTGTGGATTTGGCATGGTGAAGAAGGAGAGTACAGTGGGGATGTTATTGGGTATGATGTGCATGATGATAGAAGCAATGATATCCGTGTGGACGAGGAATACAAGAATGATGAACATATTGATGATGATGGTGCTGAGGAGGGATTTGAGGATGATCATGTGGATGAGGTTGAGGATGAAGGTGTGGATGAGATGATGCGTGGTTTTGAAGGTGACGTGTTTGAGTCATTATCGGAGGCTTCTAAAAAGCCTTTGTATCCTGGGTGTAAAAAATACTCCAAACTATCAGCCGTGCTAACTCTTTTTAACATTAAGTCGAAGCATGGGTGGACGGACAGTAGTTTTACTTCCTTGTTGAGCGTGTTAAGTGAGATGTTGCCAGATGGGAATGAAATTCCTAAGTCTTACTATTACGCTAAGAAGCTCATGTGTCCATTTGGTTTGGAGTATAAGAAGATACATGCATGTCCTAATGATTGTATTCTTTACCGAAATGAATATGAAAAATTGGAGGAATGTCCAAGATGCAAGAAGTCGCGCTACAAGCGCAAGAGTTGCAATGCTGGTACGAAGGGACCTCCTGCTAAGGTGTTGTGGTATCTTCCCATAATTCCTAGGTTTAAGCGTCTGTTCTCTTTACCAAAAGACGCTAAAAACTTGAGGTGGCATGCAGAGGGAAGAAAGAAAAACAGAATGCTGAAGCACCCAGCCGACTCCCCGCAATGGAAGAACCTTGATATGAAGTTTGGGGAATTTGGTGATGAAGTCAGAAATTTAAGGCTTGGTTTGTGCACGGACGGGATGAATCCATTTGGCACTCTTAGTACCCAGCACAGCACATGGCCGGTACTTTTAGTGATCTACAATTTGCCTCCTTGGTTGTGCATGAAACGGAAATATGTAATGCTTTCACTCTTGATATCGGAGCCAAGGCAACCTGGAAACGACATTGATGTGTATCTTGCGCCATTGGTTGATGATTTGAGAAAGATGTGGGACGAAGGGGATTCCGTGTTTGATGCTCATAAGAATGAGATGTTCACATTGCGTGCAGCTCTTATGTGGACCGTTAATGATTTTCCTGCATATGGCAACTTGTCTGGGTATAAGAATAAAGGGAAAAAGGCATGTCCCATTTGTATTGATGATACGCCAAGCAGACGCCTTGATCATTCTTTCAAACAGGTGTATTTGAGGACAAGAAGGTTGCTCAGGCGCGATCACCCGTACCGTCGGCAGAAAAAGGCTTTCGATGGGACGGTGGAGGAGGGGACTGCTCCTAGGCCACTGACTGGTGAGGAGGTTTACGCTCGGGTCAAGGGTGTACGAACAGTATTTGGGAAATCTGAAAAGGCGGCGGAATCAGTTGCTCTCTTTAAAAAAGAATCAATCTTTTGGTTGCTCCCGTACTGGAAAGAACATGACGTTAGGCACTGTCTTGATGTAATGCATATAGAGAAGAATGTGTGTGACGCTCTTGTGGGAACGCTGATGAATATTCAAAACAAGACAAAGGACGGAAAGGGTGCACGTTTAGATTTGGA